AACATTGTCGGATATAGTGCCAGAAGATGAGCCCCTTAGGTTAGAAGTCACTCATAATATGTCTGAGGACGAGCTGCCTCCTCAAGGTAGAGTTGAGCTTAATGACATGAATGGAGCAAATCAGGAACTTTATTTACAGATGGGGTATAATCAACATGAGAAGAAACAGCTACAACCATCCATTAATAATCAGAATGTGAAATGTGTGAAATATGAATCTATAAAAATTGGAAGTCATCAAAGAAGAAATGGAATACATAAAGGCATTGTTGTTGTTGTTAAGTGCTGTCAAGTCAGTTCTGACTCACAGCAATCCTGTAAAGGGTTTCCAAGGTGTAGGTGATAGGTTTGAACTGCTGACCTTGCTGTTAACAGCTCAGTGCTTATTCTACAGCACCATACCAGGATTCCCATTAGTGAGCTGAAATGGGCAGGTATTGACCATTTTGAACCAGACAGTCTAATGGCTTACTATACCAAGAATGTCAGACACAAGAGGAATGGTGTCACATTCATCATCAAAAAGAACAGTTCACGATCTATATTGAAGTACAATGCTATCTGTTATATCTATACACCTATAAGGAAGACAAGTTAATACATCTATTATTCAAATTTACCCACCAACCATCAAAGTCAATGATGAAGAATTCTATCAACTTCTTCAGCCTGAAATTGATCAAACATGTAGTTAAGATGCATTGATAATTACTGGTGATTAGAACACAAAAGTTGTAAACAGAGGAGGGATCAGTCATTGGAAAACATGACCTTAGTGATAGAAATGATGCTGGAGATTTCATAATAGAATTTTGCAAGATCAGTGACTTATTCATTGAAAATATCTTTTTTCAATAACATAAATGGTGACTATATATGTGGGCCTCACCCTATGAAACACACATGAACCAATTTAACTACATTTGTGAGAAGAGATAATGGAGAAGGTCAATATCATCAGCCAAAATAAGACCAGGGACCAACTGTGGAATAGATTGCTTACATGCAAGTTCAAGTTCAAGCTGAAGAAAATTAAACGTCTGTGAGATCCAAAATAGAACCTTGAGTTTAAGTTCCAATTTAATTTAGAGAACATCTCAAAAACAGATTTGATGCCTTAGACACTAATGATGGAAGACTAGAGGAGTTGTGGAATGACATAAAGAGCATCCTACAGGAAGCAAGCAAAAAGTCATCAAAAGACAAGTAACAAAAGAAAAGACCAAATAGATGTCAGAACAGACGCTAAAACTTGTTCTTGACTGTTGAGTAACTAAAGCTAAAGGAAGAAATGATAAAGTAAAAGAGATAGAAAAATTTATAAGACAGTTCTAGAAGAGAAAGTAAAGTATTAAAATGAAACACGCAAAAACCAAAAGAGAAAAACAAACTCAGCATTTCTCAAACTAAAAGAGCTAAAGAAAAACTTGAGTCTTGACTTGCAATATTGAATGATTCTGTGGGGGTAAATATTGAACAATGCAGGAAATATCAAAAGGAGATGAAAGATTGCTCTCTGCTCCTTGCTGTTTGATAGTCAGCCACAGCTTCTCTTGCAGTCCCAGCCACATCCCTGATATAGGATTGTGAAAGTCAGAGTCAACAGATTTACAGATTTGGCCATATTGGGTGTCTAGTCACCAGGGCTGCTGTTAACTCCGGCAAAGTGGAGGTTGTTGCCACCAACAACCCCTTCATTGACCTCTACTATATGATTCCACTCATAGCAAATTCAATGGCACTGTCAAGGCTGAGAACAGGAAGCCCATCTCTAACTTCCAGGAGCAAGTTCCTGCCAACATCAAGTGGGTTGATGCAGGTGTTGAATATGTTGTAGAGTCCACCAGTGTCTTCACAACATTGGAGAATGCTGTGGCTCACTTAAAGAGTGGTGCCAAAAGGGTAATCATCTCTGCCCCTCCTGCTAATGCCCCATGTTTGTGACAGGTGTGAACCACAAGAAATATGACAACTACCTCAAGATTGTCAGCAATGCCTCCTGTGACATCAACTAGTTGCTCTCCTGGCCAAGGTCATCCATGACAACTTTGGCATCATGGAGGGACTCATGACCACAGTCAAGGCTATCACTGCCACCCAGAAGACTGTGGGTGGTCCCTCTGGGAAACTGTGGTGTGATGGCCATAGGGTTGCCCAAAACATCACCCCTGTATCTACCAGTGCTGCCAAGGATGTGGGCAAGGTCATCCTGAGTTGAATGGGAAACTCACTGACATGGCCTTCGGTGTACCCACTCCTAACATGTCTGTCATGGATATTACCGTCCATCTGGAGAAAATTACCAAATACAATGACATCAAGGAGGTAATGAAGCAGGCATCAGATGGAACCCTAAAGGCATCCTGGGTCACATTGAAGACCAGGTCATCTCCTGTGACTTTAACAGGGACACCTACTCTTCCACCTTTGATGCTGGGACTGGCATTGCCTTCAGTGACCACTTTGTCAAGCTCATTTCCTGATATGACAATGAGTTTGGCTACAGCAACAGAGTGGTGGATCATGTGGTCCACATGGTTTTGAAGGAATAAGAGCCCCTGGACCACCAGCTCTAGCAACAGTACTAGAGGAAGAGAGACCCTCAGCTTCTGGGGAGTCCTTACCCTAATTCCATCCCCCCAACACACTGAGAAGCTTCCATCCTCACACAGTTTCCATCCAGACCCCCTGGAGAAGGGAAGGGGCTTAGAGAGCCCAGTCTTGTCATGTACCATCAATAGAGTACCTAACCAAAAAACAAAAAAGGGAGATGGAAGAAATATACAGTCATTGTATCAAAAATAATTGGTCAACATTCATCATATTATCATAAGGCACCATATAATCAAGAATTGTGGTATTGAAGGAAAATGTTCAAGCTTCACTGAAGGCATTAGCAAAAAACAAAGACTCCAGGAATTGGCAGAATATCAATTGAAATGTTTCAACAAATTGATGCTGTGCTGAACACACTCATTAGTCCATGTTAAGGAATTTGGACTACTTGGATTGAAAGAGATCCACATTCATGCCCACTCCAGAGAAAGGCAACACAATAGAATGCAGAAATTATCAAACAATATTATTAAAATTGCTGAAGATAATTTTTAAATGGTTACATAGACAGGGAGCTGACAGAAATTCAAATCAGATTCAAAAGAAGACTTAGAATGAGGGTATCATTGCTGCCATTAGATGGGTCTTGGCTGAAAGCAGAGAGTACCAGAAAGATGTTTACTTGTTTTGTTGACTACACAAAGGCATTCAATTTTGTATATCCAAACAAACTATGGATAACATTGTAAAGAATGGGAATTCCAAAAGAAATAATTGTGCTCATGTGGAATCTGTAAACAGACCAAGAGGCAGTCATCTGAACAGAACAAAGGATACTATATGGTTTAAAATCAGGAAAGGTCTGAGTTGCATCCTTTTACCATACTTATTCTATCTGTACGCTGAACAAATAATCCGAGAAGTTGAATTATATGAAGAAGAATTTGAACATCTAGATTGGAAGAAGGCTCATTAACAACTGCAATATACAAATGACACAACCTGGTTGCTCAAAACAAAGAGAATTTGAGGCACTTGTTGATAAAGATCAAAGACTACAGCCTTCAGTCTGGATTACAACTCAATGTAAAAAGAAAAAAAAATCCTCAAAACTGGACCAATAAGTAACATCATGAAAAATGGAAAAAAGACTGAAGCCATCAATTAATTTCATTTTACTTGGATCCACAATCAATGCTAATGGAAGCAGCTGTCAAGAAATCAAACAACATATTGCTTTGGGCAAATATGTTGCAAAAGACCTCTTTAAAGTGCTAAAGGGCAAGGATGTCACTATGAGGAATCCTTGCCTGACCCAAGCCATGATATTGTCAATTGCATTATATGCATGTTAAAGTTAGACAATGAATGAGAAAGACTATGGAAGAATTGATGCAATTGAATTGTGATGTTGGTAAAGAACATTGAAAGTATCATAGACTACCAAAAGAATAAACAAATCACTTTTGGAAGAAGTACAATCAGAACACCTTTTTTAGAAGTGAGGATGGTGAGACTCGGTCTTTGTACTTTGGGTATATTGTTAAAGGGATCCATCTCTGGTAAAGGGACATTCTTGGTAAAGAAGAGGGTCAGAGAAAAAGAGGAAATCTCCCAATGAGATGGATTGACACAGTAGCAGCAACCAAGTGCATAAACAACAATTGTGAGAATGGCACAGGAATTCTGCTGTTCATAGCATCGCTATGAGTCAGAATTTACTAAATGGCACCTAACACCCACATAGCACATATAATGTTAAGGTTCTCAATGTATAAAAAAGAATGATTAGGACATTTATTTTTCCTTTCTAAAATAATGGTATCTATGACTCCTGGTGTGGTGCTGTGGAATCAACACTGGGATATGAACCACAAGGTCAGCAATTCAAACCCACCAGTTGCTCTTTGGAAACCCTATACAAGGTCAGAACCAATTTGACAGCACTTAACAACAACAACAGGAGAAAACAAACTCTTCCTCTATCTTTTCCCTCATCTCCTATTTAGCAAGTTTAGTTTCTTTTCCTCTAGCCTTAATTTTAAGTAGTCACATTTTATAAAGGTTTTTTTTTTTAATGTTTTGTTGTGAATTATGTGATAGTTTACATGGGAGAACATTAGCTTTACATTCATCATAAAGGGTTTTCTTGCTCAAAAGAAATCATTGACATTTGCAAATTGTAGTCATTACTGGATGAGTTCTGTTATCAATGATTTAATAAAAAACATATTTTTTGTTGTTGTTAAATGCCTTTGGGTCAATTCTGACACATAGCTCCCTTGTATAGGGTTTCTGAGGAGTGACTGATGACTTTGAACTGATGACCTTGTGGTTCAAACTGAACTTTCAATTCAGTGATTATCCTACAGCATTACACCAGGACTCCAAAAACACAAAACAAAACATATTATTGGGTTTTTGTTTTTTATTGTAAACCTTACCTTGTGTGGTCAACAAGTGAATATTTTTATTACCAAGCCAATATTCACCATTTTTTTGGGTAAAATTTCCAAAGCCATTTTCATAGTCATCCCAGCCTCTTAAAAAAAGAAAAGAAAAGAAAAAAAAAGTATTCAAAGACTGAGCTTAGCAAAATCTAAAGGAAACATGTAGTACCCAACTGCTATTGCCACCCTTGCCCCCAATATTTCCTTAATTAATTTATGCATTCCTATTTTGTTGTTGTTGTTAAGTGCTGACTGACGAGTCGGTTCCTACTCCCAGTGACCCTGCATAATGTTTCTGAATAGCAGCTGGGGGGTTTGAACCACTGGCCTTGTGGTTAGCAGTCCAGTGCTTATCTTAAAGTGCCATACCAGGACTCCGTAAAAAGGTTTGGTTTATTATAAATTTCACACTTACTGCTCCATATTAGTCCTCATATATCACCTGTTAAAGTTCTCGCTGCCATCAGATCGTCTTTGAATCACAGTCCATCCTCCTCCATCAGACATGTCACAATACACAAAGAATTCTTCTGTACTCTGGAGGGGTTTGATTTTGTAAAATCCACTGCTTTTATACCCATTATTGAAGATCTCTGAACAATCTGTTTGAAAAACAAGGTAATTCATGATTTGTTGTGTTTCTTTTTAAAAAAAAATTACTCAATACTAGTGGAGACTGATAAACATATAATGAAGGTAATCAACTTCTTTAAATTGCATGTGTACATGTTCCAGTAGGAGGCCTGGTGGCACTGTGGGGTAAGTATTAGGCTGCAAACTGCAAGGTTGTTTGTTCAAACCCACCAGCTGCTCAGCAGGAAAAAGATGAGAGTGTGCCAGTAAAAATTTACAGTCTTAGAGAACAAACAAGATGGCGGATCGGGTGGACGTATAGCAGAGAGCTCCGCCAACAACAACACAGAAT